AMMARRAAWWWTYCSRWTTTTARGGTTTAATTGATAATATGTGATACTATGAGCTGCGGCGCTTGGCATAAGAGGGTTCGATATCGTACCCTCGACTTGATGGCTGCTGTTTCTGATAGTCATCGTAGGGGCGTTTTCTCGTAGATGCAAGTTCTAACTCTTCGTTACGGTATGAAGCTTGGGCATTAAGATCAGTGTTTCGAGCCCCTCGGAAATCTGCCGGCATGTCGTTCGGTCCATTTCTACCTCCTCCTCCATTGGGACCGCTAGAACGACTGCCTCTATCCGAATGACGATCYTGGAAATGCATGTTCTGSCCAGGAGGTCCCCTTGGGGCACGTGGACCACCTCTGCCGTCCATGGAGGGACGCCGATCATCGGAATAGTAACTCTGGTCGGGACGGGACATGGATGACCTTCCGTCACGTTCGTCACGACCCCGGCGATCCATGCCAGCTTGCCMCCGCAGGTTTGGGTCGTAATCTCGGTTGGTTGATCTCATGTTGTCGCGACCAGAATCATCCCAGTTGCGGACGCCTCCACGCCGTTCGTCATACTCATGTTGCCTTTCACCGCCACGCCTGTCGCCGTCATTGCCGATTCCAGGCCTGCCACCTTCGTAACCATAACCTCTCTGGCTTCTGCGATGGTCGATCCCGTTTTCGGGTCGATCACCTCGACTTCCCCTATCACCATGACCCTCTTGATCACCGAATGCACCTCGACGTGGAGCGTCTCGTTGTCCCCCTCTCCACTCATCTCCGTACCGCTGGTCTTGATTATTCCTGGGGGATTCTCCGGTGCGACCATAATTGCTAGAAGCACGGTCAGGCATTCGATCGTCTCCCGAGGGTCTAGCCGAATCCGGACCACGATCTGGAAATCGATCATCTCTGGATTTTCGGAACGAGAAAGATCTTCTGTCGACGGGATGATCCAATTCTCGTCGCTTATCATCTGGGGATCTGTAAGGAGGAACCGGATCGCCGTCCCGAATGAAAGTTCCAGGTGGTCCTTGTCCTGGGCGGGCGGGACGAAATCGAGGGCGTACTTGCTGCACCACATCCGGGAATTTATTGGCGGTTGTCTCCTCCTCTTTGAAACGGGTATAYCCTTCGAGATCAAATCGAATCCTTCCACCATTCTTCTTCACCACCTCGATCAACGCCGACTTATTGATGTGAATTCTTCCCTTATTTGGTTGCGGTGTTTCGTGGATTTCCATATACTTGAGCATAGCTCTCACTCGTAATCTCATCCCATCRTCGTTCATRCGCGCTCCWCGGGAACGAGTCTTTCCGTAACCGGTGACAATAGAAATACTTTGGACAGCTTCGAGCTTCGATGTATTGATGAGATAAGGCACCAGGCATTCCTCGAACCACCAACCCAAAGCAATTTCACCACCACCTAGAGACAAGAAATGCAAATCGAGCTCAAGCCACTGAGTTCCAAGYCGAGAGACTCGGGCGTAAAAGCCTCTTTCCACTCCTTTACAGTCGATATCAATTAAGGTCGCAGGCACAATTTCAAGGTGAGGAAATAGTTTGATGAATACACAAATCATATATCTWCAAATCCAGACAAATYCGTACCTTCCTTGAAGAGTCTTCTGCCAAGTTCDACTTGAGAAGAAACTGCATCAAGCACTGCGTTGTATGTCACCACGTCCTTGTTAACTCCAATTCGATCCATTTCCACGAAGAGTTCGTATCCCTTTTCCCACAGATTACAGCGGGCACAGGCACTGATGGCACTATTATAGATGTGCACATTTGGCGCAACATCTTCGAGCCTCATTCGTTCCATTAGTTGAAAACCAATATCAGCTCGACACGATTTCTCCATGCATGACATTGCAGCTCCAAAAATAATAACATTTTTCTTGATTCCCATTTCGGTCATTTCGTCTAAATATTCCAGGCATTGGCGATACTGTAAACCTTTCTCGCAAGCACTAATCGCACTGCCATAGCTAACAACGGTGACAGGCATGTTCTTTGATTTCATCTCGTCAAATAGATCGAGAGCTCTTTCCCACTGCAGTCCCTTTTCAAGCGCAGTCCTAGATATTGATACAGAACGAAAGAACAATAAGCGCAGGGTWGAAAACTATTTGTTAGGAGAAATTGGACACAAAATCAARTACGTACGATTTTGGCTGCGACGGATAACTTACATTGTGGCATTATACGTAACAATGCTTGGCTTCCCACCCGATGATTCGATTTCACGAAATAATTCYAACGCCTTGTGCCACATTTGACCTTTCGAAAGAGCCGAGATGGCAGCACTGTAAGCAATGACGTTTGCTCCATGGCCTGCGGCTTTCATTTCCTCGAGAACTTCAAGTGCAAGCTTCCACTGCTGGCCCTTTTCCGCGGCACTGATCAGGGCAGAGTAAGTCACGACAGTTGGCCGGACCCCTTCTCTCTTCATCTGCTCAAATATTTCAAGGGCCTTATGCGGAACCAATCCTTTTTCGCATGCACTAATGGCAGCATTGTATGCAATAGCAGTTTGGCCTGCGCCCTCTTTTTTCTATCAGGAAAAAAACAAATGGAAGGGAATAGATAACAAAAACTATTGGATGACAGGTTTGGGCTTTGGGAAAAATAGAGTAACAATAAGCAAAATTCTAGTGCCTTACCATTTGGTCAAGCAAATCCAAAGCAATCCTCCACTGTCCACACTTTTCACAAGCTGAAATGGCCGAAGAAAATCTGAAAGATCAATAGTTGAGAAAGAAACGATAGAAAAGAAACGACGATAAAGTAAGAACAAAAGACGGGATWTAAGTCGCAGATTTTMAAGTTGAGATGCACATTTACCGTACTCACGTTACTTCATTTTTGGACACCTTCTTTTCTTTCATTTCATCCAACAACCTCAAGGCCTTGTTGTAATCGCGAACTTTTTCGCACGCGCTAATCATTGCATTATAGTGGAAAGTATTCTTTTCAATCCCAATGTGATCGATCCAGTCCCAAACACAATTCGCAATGCGTAAATTCCGTCGGCGAGCCAAGTTGGAGATGATGGCGGTGACAGCCTTACCAGATTGAAACACCGCCATATTGCTCTCTCTTGTGATGCCAAGCTCACGGTAGATATCACAACCTGGACGAACCAAACGATCGACCAAAGCCTGTATATCGAGCCCCATGATGAYTTGTTGCCCCCCACGACCACCGCCGCGGTCATCGCGGTCGCCATAGTAGGAAGGCCGTCTGTCCCCTCTGGCACCGCGAAAGCTGGAGCCAGGATCGCCACGATATGGAGTATCACGCCGTGCTCGACCTCTTCCTCCTCTCCCTCTTCCACCCCCCTGGTAGGAGCTAGAGCTGCGGCGACCACCGTCATCGCGACTAACGCCGCCTCCACCGTAGTGCGAATCTCGCTGGTCCCGGCCTCCACTACCACGTCCACTTCCGTTGAATGGCCCRTTGTTTCCACCACTATAACGCGTTGGCATGGGACCTTCACCGCCCCTTCCTCTTTCCGATTTATTGCTGTATCGAGAATTGTCCCGCTGAGGGCCACCACCATTCTCGCCGTTTCCGCCTGGATTGTCCATGTTGGCTACATCGCGTTCTCGTTGATTGGCTCTCTCGAGGTAGCCTCGTTTGAAGTGATCGAGTGGCTGTGGTGCTAGGTTGGGAGCATCCTCCGATCCCGGGACAAAATTCTCCCCATGATCAACAACGTAAGCCCTCGAGTTCCCGTGCCTTTTGGTTCGGATAGTATGTGRTGTAAAAGAATTCGCGCAAGAAAAACCGACCCGATTATTGTATTGTTTTTCCAAGGAACAGTTGGATTGTTGGATGTGATTCCCGCACGAAATTGATGCATGACAACGAATGAAATTAGGATGATTGGCGATTGTATTTCAAGGAGTGAGTGAGTAAGATTCATGTGTTAGAAACGCAAAAGGTTGTCGAGTATTTCAATCTATGAGCATGAGCATGGAACGAGACAATGGGAAATCCAGACTGAACGGAACGGAATTGAACTCATTGCTTTKGTTGCTTKAAAACCAACTAGTCGCTCAGCAGCTTAATAGACTACTGGGTGCTCTGACTASGGGATCGCTGGGATCGCCTCCATTTCAAGTACGAAACAAGTGGATTATGCTGGATCTACAAAAAGCTATGTTGTCGCATGGATACTATGATACCGTTCGAAGGCATCGATCGGGCGTCTTCACAATCGATAAGTTTACCCCCCTTGCATGTAATGCATGTAAAAACCATGGGGTTGTGCATTGTTTGTGCGTCTCACCTGCTCATTTCTTGATTGTTGTGTTACGTTMCTACGTGGTATTGCCTCACACTGGAAATTGACGACCAAAAGAGTTTGCTGATCGTTTTTGGCGTTTGCTGGTTTTTCGGGTGTTTGAAAGAGGTGTGTCGAATGTCACAAAGCTAACGCTTTGCGGTATGACACAAAGTGTTGTAATTCTTRGGCTGTTTGTTGGTGAATAGATACAACTACGAGGACTCGTTTCGTACCTGTACCGCTGAGAGCGTGTGCAATCTAGCTCAAAAYAATAGAAAAGACCACCTGTAGACTCTTAGTAACGMAAGGCTAAATSGAGGTCTCGGTTGTAGCAGCGGTAAAAATTATTGGCGCAACTTCTTCATTTTTTGTGAAGATGATGCCTTGCCTGTATGTGTCTGTATGTTGTCCGTCGGATACAGATGCAACAAAAGCAAAGATTCTGTGGGTTGTTCGATACATTTTTTGTTTTTACAGAACCTTATTTGATTATTTGACACGGATGATTGACTCACATACGGGACTAAAATTGACACCAATTTCACGAATCCAAGAAATGACGTACGTACCTCCAACAGGAGGTACAGTACCACTCGAACTGGTACGTGCTACGTCGTACTGTTACGACTCTCTCAAAGCTTGCCTCGTTTTTCTTGTCAACTATGGTGTGTTGCTCATTTTTAAGCACTTCTTGCTCCTGGTGCACTACTAGTAGTACTACTAAAACAGACAACAACTTTTACTTATTACATGGAATTTTGTACTTTGTGTGTAAAAATTTGGGTTGCACTACGGATCAGGATAATAGTAAGCATCCACCAAGGAGACAGCATTTCTATTTTTCCTGCCTCCAATGTTGCGACGAAGCTTCTTCTTATCATGAAAACTTTCATAATAAGGGGACATTTGAACAACATCAGGTGTTGGATTTGTGTAACTTGTGGGTCACTCCCAAGCAAGAGCTGACTGTTTGCCTTTGTCAGCAACCACCAGAAAAAAATACATCATGAAAACAGAGCATGGGTGGTGATTCACTGCAAACAACAAGTACCAGGCATTTTCCTCATGAACAAACTTGAGAGTTATGAAATATACCCATAATTGTAATCCAAGAATGAATGCTCTAGACCACAGACCAGTTTKTTGGCCACAGGCATGAATGCTTTCCATTTTCCCACTTGAATTCTGTRTTGGATGCTTCTTCTTCTACAGATGTTTTCATCCCATTGAAAAAATGTTGGGTGAGAAGTTCAGCCTCAATCCCAACATCTACATTTTTTACCTCACCAAGGATGGGCTTCAAGATGTGTTCTTTGATTTTGTCTTTGCAGGGTACTTTGTATGCAGAAACCATGTACTTGAGAAAGAATTTCAATGCCACCTTGACATTAAAGCATCGAAACATCAGCTGTTTGGATTTTTCTCTGACTTCTTTAGTAGTTCCTCAGTGCACTTAGGAGGGTACTAGAAGAAGCCTGCTTCTTCCCTAACCATAATATGATACTAGAACCCAAGTCTCCAGGCTGCATTTACATATGGTGTCATATCAGGAAAGGATTACTGGAGATTAGACTTCAAGGCATCAGCTCATATTTAAGAGGTTTTTTGACATTGCATCACCATTCTGGTCGTGATAGGTGGGGTGCAGAAAACATAAACATGTATTTTGACATCTTGGATTTTGTTCTCTTCTCTTGWCTGGGGTAGTCYTGGTGGCAGAGGCGCCCCAGGATGTGGAGGGAAAGGAAGATTTTTTGCCTCTTCTTTGGTGGTGGTGATTCTGGGGGCAAGTCTGTTTTGCTATTCAGGCGGCCTTTCACCAACTCTCCCATTTCATCATTGCAATATTCTTAAGGAGAGTAAAGATTTGCGTTCTGCAATTTTTTTTGGCATGATTGCCAGGGCTATCCAATGATCTCAGTGAAGCCGCAAGCGCCTCCAAAGCATTTTCCACTTTGGACCAAGAATTGGTTGATAAATCAGATTCTTCCAGGCGAGACATAATCCAGATCATTGATGAGAGGATCTAGACTCAACCACATCTTATTCATGCGTTTTGACTCCTCCTCACATTGGTTGCACAAAGAATGCACATTAAGGAGCAATGTCATCTTCTCTTGTCCATTGTTGAAATTGATCATGGTGCTACTGTTGTTTGAATCCATAGATTTGATCATGCTGCTTGTGTCATAGGCATATGATTTGTACTTTGCTGAGAAAAAATTAAGGGACTTCTTTCCTGGTTTATGATCTGACAAATATTTGACAGTATCCAAAGCCACTGCTATATAATCATCCTTGTCATCTGATTTGTCTGAATTTTTGTCAGCAGTACTAGACTTATCACTGTCTGTCTACATCAGACTTCTTGGATTTCTTGCTGTCTAATTCAGATTATGTAACCACACCACATTGATTACAATCCAATTTTTTGTCAAACTGGACGTACAGATCTCAACCCAAATTCAACAAGGAGAGCTGGACAAACCACATTGAACTGGATTCAAATTCAGATATTTCGTCAAACTGGATCATGCAACCACACCACATCAATAACCCCAACCCCAATCCGGAACCACACCACATTGATTACAATCCAACTTTTCGTCAAACTGGACGTACAGATCTCAACCCAAATTCAACAAGGAGAGCTGGATAAACCACATTGAACTGGATTCAAATTCAGATATTTCGTCAAACTGGATCATGCAACCACACCACATCAATAACACCAACCCTAATCCGTAACCACACCACATTGATTGCAATCAAAAAATTTGTCAAACTGGACGAACCATATCAAACTGGATTCAAATTCAGCAATTTGGTCAAAGTGGCTGGATCATGCAACCACATCACACCAATAGCCCCAACCTGTAACCACTCCACATCGATTGCAATCCAAATTTTTGTCAAACTGGATGTACAGATCTCAATCCAAATTCAACGAGGAGATTTTGTCTAACTGCTGGATGCAACTGCATCAAACTTGCAACCCAAATTCAACAAAAAAACTGGATGAAACCGAGAATCAAGCTTCTTCTGGGAACTAAAGAGCACACATACATTTTGCTAGTGTTGGGTAATGTAACGTTCTACGTAACATCAGGAACGCTAGTACCATTAGGAACGTAATGTTTGGGTCAAGCATTTTGTGTTAGACTAGCATTTGTAACTCAAACGTACTATGTTCTTTATCCCCTCGGTTCCTAAAGTAAAACACAAACGTTAGTAACATTTGTACAAACGTTTATCCCCTCTGCCTGTTCCTAATGTAAAACACAAATGTTAGTAACATTTTTACAAATGTTTACCCCCACCATTCCTAACATATCATATCACAAAACTTGAGAGCATCCATAATAAGTATTTGTGACTGTTATCATTGGTAATACATACTACTAGGCCTTTATTGTTTAAATAAGTTACAAGCACTGGAGATTGTCACACAAGATTCACTAGTCTTTGACGCCTACTCCAAAAAGAAACAACACAGACAACCTGTTGTGCCAGATACATCTTTGGCTCCTCATGTCACTTCTTCCAGTTCACTCCAAACAAAGCTAAATCAATTCTAGTACTACTAAATCCAGCAAAATAAACTCTTGGTCACACTTCCACCAAAACTCTTCCAAGGGAAGTGCCGCCCCTCAGAACAGCTAGTAGAAGCATACTTTCCAATCAAAGGTATGGTTCTGGCCATATAGTGCCTCTTCTAGTTGCTGCAGTTTATGTATTATCGCAAGGACTCATACCAAATCGTGGCAAGAGAAACAGACAGGAGGAGATCCACCCAATTCTGACAATTGCTACCTTCCTTGACCCAAGAACCAAGAGCTTGGTATCCATTGGAGAAGATGATAAAAGTAAAAAGATGTTTGCCACTGCAAAGAAAAAAGCAATGAAGATATTCGCAGCAAAGTACTAGAACTGATGAAAGACGAGTCTGAGTCCAAGAGACTTGAATCTATGGACTTGGCTGCCATGGAGGCAACTAGGAACATCACCATAGAACAAGTTGAAGAAGGAGATACTGGTGATGATACTGGTGTTGATGATGCTGACATGAACACCTTTGAGCTGATGGAGGAAGAAAAGGCAGAAGCTGAAGAGGTTAACCGCCATCAATTTAGCAATGGTGCAGCAGACGATGGTGTCAATATTGATCATGCTTGTAAACGTGAAGTTGAGCTTTACGTTTGTTCCGAGCACTTGGCCTTCGTCAAGAAAATTGGAAGTAAGACAGTTAACAGTGATCCACTCCAGTAGTGGAAAAATCACCAGGCAAGTTATCCAATTTTTGCAAGAAGGCTGGCCAAGATCTATCTTCCTGAGCAACCCACCACTTCAGCCCCATCTGAGCGCGTCTTCAGACACGTTTTCAGACTCCTCTCAGCAAGGCGCTCCTGCTTGGATCCAGAGTATGCAGGAAAAGAATTCTTTGTATCTAAACCCACATTGGCAGAGATTGAGATGGCTGAAGCAGATGGTGAGCATCATGCTTATGACCAAGTACTAATGGAGGTCTAAGAGGAGGAACAAAGACTTTATTTGCGTCAAATTGTGCATGTGCATCTTAAATTGGATACATATCCTAGTAATTGGTAGTAAATCAGTAACGTTACTAGTAGTAGTTAATAATGATGTGTGAACTGTTGTCACAGCTTTCCAATAGCAGATGTCAGCCTTGTTATGAACGTTTCAAATGTTTACTAGTAGCAGTACTAGTAGTAGTAGTAACGCTAGGGTTGTTACTACTAGTAGTAGTAGTACTAACGCTCAGGAAAATTTATGTGAATGTTTAGCTTTTTTTTCACACTAATGTTTTTCTAAGGTGCTAACAAACGTTTTGGTTTGTAATGCTTTTAGGAATGTAACGTTTTACTACACAAAACGTTACGTTACTCAACACTACATTTCGCAACTACTATTAGTAGTTCTTGTACTGTACTGTACTAGAGATAGTCCGATAGAAACGCTAAGTCTGTACTTTTCGGTCATTTCGATCTCCTTGATTCTTTTCCGAGCCCGCCATCCAACGATCACGATGACAGAATGTTCTTTTGTACCGTAGCTGTGAAGAAGACCACCGCAGAGGAAGGGCAGCAACAAAGGAGGCCACACCAAACGAGGCTTGACCTAGYAGATAGACAACCGACTGCGGTCCCACAGAGAACCCYYGGCAGAGAGCAGCACGATGAACCGCGAACCCTGTAGGAAAGCTTGCCATGCACTGGCCCGCGCCCTCGGCAACCAGCGACCACCAAAGGGAGGACCCCTGGGCGGGAACCAGTGCCCGGGGGTTGTTTCGGCAAGACACCGGAACCGGGCCGGAGTTTCTACGGTTGCCGAAAACCAGATCGCCCGGTGGCTGAAGGAGGGCGGCGAGGATGCCCTGGGGAACAAGGGGAAGAAACTGGTTGTGGATCGGCACGGGGATGCTTCCGCCGGGATGGCCGTGAACCAGCACGATGTGGTCCACAGCAAAATCCTGGCGGACAACAACATCCGGCCCGAGTCGATCGAGCGCCGCCTCGAAATGGACAGGGACTGGGAGAAGCTGAAAGCGAGAATCAGGGATGCCTGGGAAGAACACAGAGGCAAGACAACAAGACACGGAGACAACAACGACGACCWMGCAAGGCTTTCGATCCACGAATTTTCRRAGAGTGAAACAGCGAGGGAACTCTTTTCCGAGGACGTGAAASGGCTCGACCTGCAAGCAAAACGAGTGAACGAAGCCGCGATCAGTGATTCTTTGCGATTCAATGGGCGATCACCCGTTCGCCATGCAAAACCCTTCGTATTGGAAGACCGCATAGTGATGGCCCTGGAAGAGGACGACGACGACGACGACGACGACGACGACAATTGAACAGCAAGAAGCCCCGAGTACACTCAGCAGTATCGAGTGATGTCATATCTCGAGAGGAGAGGATGGGCCCAAAGAGAATTACGTGAACAAAAGGAAATCGAATCCAAAAGCGAGGTACCAATATATAACTAAATGGTTTTATGCAATAATACAATAGATCGGCTTTCCATTCTACACCCTWKCTCGGTCTCCGACGAMCCGCACGGTAGGTTACCATCCRTACCTGCGCTTTGCCGTGGCCCTGTGGGACCCCTGCCCCGCACCGAGGCTCCCGCCCGCATAGCGGGGGTTCTGCGCCCGTTGGCTCTCGAGCGAGGCGGCGTTTGCCAACAGGCTGTTGAGCTGGTTGCTGTTCTTCTGGCGGCTCGTCACGCTGGTGCTGGTGGCGGTGGTTCCGGTCGCCGCGTCGTAGGCGCTGGTGGGAACCACCCGGACGGTCGACGAGGCCGACGAGGAAGCCGCCACCGCGGCGGCGTAGTCCCCCTGCTGCTGGTAGACGTGGGCCACGCCCCGAACCTCGTGGTCGCCCCGGACCTCGTCCAGTTTTCCGGCGCGAAGCATTTGTTCCATTTGGCGTTTCCGAGAAAGAGGTTTCTTTTGTTTCTTCGTTGCTGGTGGTTGTTGATGCTGGTGGTGATGATGATGTTGTTGTTGTTGTTGTTGTTGTTGTATTCGATAGTGGCTGGCAGGGTGTGAGCCGGAGTTGTAGGATGTGGAAGACGATCCCCTCACCTGCGGGGCCGCGGATCGTCCCATGGAAGACGCGGCCCGGGCCCGCGGTTGGGGTGGTGGTGGTGGTGCCACGGATGGTCGGGGGACCGAGACGGAAGGTGTCCGAGGGGACGCCGACGCGGACGCCGACGCGTGTACGGAAGCATCGGGTTTCACCGCCGAGTCTTCTGCGTCGTGAATGTTTCGCACCGCCACCGGCTGCCTCCGTTTTCGGGTGGTGGTCTCCACCGTTGTGGCAAGAAACGCGGCGCCCAGTGGTTCGCTCTTCGGTTTTGGTCCTGGTTTTTGCGTCGGCTTTGGTTCCGTGTCCGGCGTGGGATTCTCGTCGCCCGTGGTGGCCGATCCGGAACCCTCCTCGGCGCCGCCGCCCAGGATCTTTTTGTTTTTCGGCTGAGAGGAGGACCCGGACTTGGACAACTCTTTCAGCAGCCCCATGAGGCCTTTGTCTATGGAAAAATCTCTGGGCGGTGCATTCGTGCTTCCCGGATTCGCTCCCGGATTCGCACCCTTCTTCCGTCGGGACSCAGGTGTTTTGCGRCTCTGGGCACCAGTGTCTTCGTCGTCGCTGCTATCGGTGTCCGGGTTGTCCTCGCTGCTGTCGGAKTCGGAGTCGGAGTTAGTACCGTCGCCGCTCTTTCTGTTCTTCCTGCCGGAGCTGCCCCCCCCGCCCGCGAGCTGGAGCTGGTTCAGGATGTGTTCGGGCAGCACGGCCGACAGCTTGAGGACTTTTCTTCCGATCACCCGCTTGGTTCGGTCCGCCCTTGTGCTCCCCTTCTTTGCCGCAGTCGTTGCCGTTGCTGTTGCCGTTGTCGTTGCCGTTGTTGCTGCGGGAGACGCGGCCGGAGGGAGAGAAAGCCCCCGTGCCGGTGCAGCTGCGGCGGTTGCGGGCACCGCCGAGGGCTTTCCACCACCGTCGGAATCCGAGTCCGAATCCGAATCGTAGTTCCCCAAGAGATCCATGGCGACCGGATGGTTTCGTGTCGGTCGTGTTTTTCGATGTGATGTGTTGCGCTAGGTCACTCTTGCTGTTGTGTTGTGATGCGTTGTGATGTGATGCGTTGCGTTGTGATGTGATGTGTTGTGTTGCGTTGCGTTGCTTTGGCGTCTCGCGGCGTGCCGTAGATGCTTGAATTCGTTCGTGTCCACTCTCTATCTTTTCGTATCTGCCGTCTCGTGCTTCGTTCGGATGAAACGGGGAGGCTCTGGACCGGACGGCTTTGTCTGGCTTCTGCAAAATTCGGGTGTTGTAGGGCTGGGAGTCGGACACGGAATTATTGTGGGATGGCTGTTTGCGTTCGATGGTGACGGTTTCAAAATCATTGTTTTGTGGTTGTTCGGGCAAAACGATGGAATTCTGGCCACTACGGTAGCCGTCTACGCTCGTATTCGTACGACCACTGCACTGGTACGAGTAAGGTACAGTACTCATCGATGGTTTCGTAAGATCAATCCAAGTACGTACCGGTACACAATGGTACCGAAGAACTTACAGGTCACATTCGCACGATCTGATCTTTGCACGGCCCTTCTGGATTTCTGTGGCACTCAGATTTCGGATTTGATTTTTGATGCGAGTCAGCCAGTCATTCGATCCGTTTCTGTTTATCATAGTATCTAGTATATGCAATATACATATGCTCAGTTCTGGGTACACTCCACTACGTACTCAGTACTCACTACTGCAAAGTACGAAGTACGAACGTACGGTACGTGACGCAAGGTACGTCCATAGTCTGAATAGATACGTACCGTAACGTACAAGCAGCGATGCTGCGACACTGACACTGCGACACACGAGCTCTCCACCCATTTCTCGAAAGCTGCTTTCGATCGATTTTTGGTACGAGTACTAACCACACGGCACGGCACGCCACAAGACAACACAACATACAACACGGCACAACAAAAGAAGACGGAGTTCTGTGCCTCGGACTCCCGGAACCAAAGCCAGCTCGCGGACCGAGGATCGATCGGTGTGTCCCGGGCCGATTCGATTCGATTCGATTCGATTCCATTCCATTCGACGCCGCCATGTTTCGAAAACGAACCAAGAAGGCAGCCGCGAAGAGCAACCTCCGGAGAAAGCGGAGGGACGACGAGGATCCGGTCGGGGAGAACGTCAGCGGCAACGACGAAAGCGAGGGCGACGCGGCCGCCACTTCCGCCAGGATCCGGAGCACCCTGAAAAAACAAAAGATCCTGGCGACGCTTCCCATGACGTCGGGGGGAGGGAGCGGGCGCYTCCGTGCAAGCGCGAAGCAGAACCGGAGCGGAGACGACCACCACCAGCAGCAGGACGGATCGCAGGCCGCCGAGCTCTCGGTCCTGGACACCAAGCACAAGAACAACATGGAATCCTTCATCGAGGAACGAATGGCCTCGTCCGGGGCCGGGAGAGAGGGCGGGACCGGACCCGCTGGCCAACCACCGGAGGCTTCCTCGTCGGCTTCCGCGTCGGCTTCCGCGTCGGCTTCCACGGAAGACGACCTCTACCGGTCGCTGGCCCGGGAGGTCGCCGGCGAGACCGAACCCTTGGCCCCCGGAAACGAGGGTCCTCCCGAGCAGGACGGAGACCAGGGGGCCGGGGGGGCCGCCCTCCTGGGGGGGACGGGGATCGCGGAGGTCATCCTGCCCTCCACGAGGCACGAGCCCGTCGCCCTTTTCACCGGCCAGCGGGGCCACCGCCACTTCTCGGAAGGCCGGTCCTCGGCGGTCCCCGAGGGGGAGAGGCACGGGCGGTCCCTGCCGGAGACGACCCCGAAGCCCCTGGTCCGGTTCTCGGGCAAGGCGAGCGCCAACCTTCTCGAAACAAAAGTTAGCAGCGAAGGCAAGCACGGAAGCAGAAGGGAGCCTTCCGGGGGGGAAGGGGGCGATCTCGGACCCGAAGACGGCAAGGCGGACGCCGACCGGAAGGGCTTTGACGCCTTTCGGGGCAGGGCGGCGGCGTCCTCGTCCCTTTCCGACCAAGATCCGGGGGGCGGCGACGATCGAACGAGGCACAACCGGTGGAAGACCGGGCAGAACCGGGACGACGTTGTCTACCGGCAGTTTTTGAAGAAAGCCCTCAATCCGAGGAACATATGACGGAGGGGAGGCCGTTTTTGCACCGGAGCGATGCAGCGCTTTTCCTTTGTGCCAAGCGACCCTGATCGCGGGTCCGGAAACGAAGCGCCCGACCATCCACTGCCGCTTCTTTTGTCACGCCAACACTAGAACACGAACACGAACACGAACACGATCTCGTCTACAAAATGTACAAACAAAACCATTTAGTATTATTACGGTACGGTACGGTACCGTACCGTACTAGTTCGTTTCCGCGCGCCGCGAAACGCCGCGTCACACCCGTGCCAAAGGGGCCGCCCTCAGCGAATGGGTTCGTCGTCGATCCATTCTCCCTCGTGGCGAACGTTCCCGTTCGGATAGGTCTCGGTGCCCCGCCCGTGGGCCATGCCGTTTCGCCATTCCCCCCGATAGCGCCTGCCGTCCTCCCAGGTGCACGTCCCAAAGCCGTCGTAGCGGCCGTCCTTCCAGGACCCCTCGTACTGGCCTCCGTCGGCAAAGGTGTATTTTCCGTGTCCCTGCCGCTGCCCGTTGACAAAGTCTCCGTCGTAGATGGCCCCATCGGGCCAGGTAAAGACGCCTTTTCCGTGGCGCTTGTCCTCCGAAAACTGTCCGTCGTAGATCCGGCCATCGTTCCACCGATACACGCCGGTGCCGTGGCGCTGATCGAACTTGTACTCTCCTTCGTAGGAATCCCCGTTGGAAAACGAGGCACGCCCGTATCCGTGCCAGCGGCCGTGGCGCCAGTCGCCTTCGAAAACCCTGCGATCCTCCTCGTATATCATGCGTCCCAGTCCGTGTGGCATTCCCGTGTTTCGCAGCACGACGCCGGTGTAGGTGCCCTTGTCGCCGTARGGATCCARCAACTTCTTGTTGACGACCTTGATTCGGTCGTCTCCGTAGGTKGAGCTGGCCACCGTCTGTCCTATGGATTGGTCGTCGACGGAGCCGGGAGCGAAGGTATCTTTCTCCATGTCCGATCCTTTCGAGACATAGACGGGATCAAATCGATCCGAGGACTCGTTGTTCTTTGCATTCTTGGCAGCACTGGTGTTGTTTGCCATCGGCGTCTCGGCCGTGCTCAGACCATGCTCCTGCTTGGGCTGGCTCTTGAGTTGCTGCTGGTGCTGGTTGGCGGAAGCATTGTTTGCGTTCGCGGCAGCGTTCCCCATTAACTTTTCGTCAATAGAAGGATAGAGTTTCTTTTTGCTGTTGGCATTCAATCCGGCCTTGAACGAGTTGTTGTTGTTGCTGTTGCTGTTGTTGTTGTTGCTGCTGCTGCTGTTGTTGGCGTTGCCGGAACCCGCCATTCCCGATTCGTTTTCGGTTCTGCTCGACGATCCCTTTGCGACCGCGTTCCACGGATGGTCCTTCTCGGATTTTGCCTTGGAACCTGCTGCCGCAGTGGCTTCTCCTTTGGCCGGGTCGATTCCATCGCGGTTGGTTTCCGTCTCGGCAACCAATTCGCTGCCGGCTTCGTCGCTGGCTTTGGCGCTGTTCTTGGTTTTGGCAATGTTGGTGTCCATCCACTCGAGCTGTTTTCGGAATATCTCCTCCTGYCGGGAAGCCWTGGATTCCGTGGCTTCCTTCTCGGCTTGCAGCTTGATCAGCAATCGTTCTTTTTCAAAGGTCTCCCTTACCTGGTCCAGCGTCGTTTGTAGCTTCGTCGCCAGGACCACTTGTTCCTGGTATCGCCGCTGGGTTTCTTGGAGCGATTCGCGAACCTGTCGGAGCTCGTTGTCCTTGTCCTGGATGAGTTTCCACAGCATGGCATTGTTGTGTTCTTCTTGCTGGGTCTGCTGGAGCGTCGGCGCCGATTTGACGGACGAAACGGCCGCCTGCTGCATCTGCAGCTGCTGCTGGTGAAAGGCGGCTGCAGCAGCGGCCAGGAACTGCGGGTCGTAGCTGGCGTTCGAAAAGGGCGAGGACGGGGGATTCATAGCCGCCGCTCCGGACGGGCTTGGATTGGCGGAGCTCTTGAGGGAAATCCCGTTCGGCAGGCCGTTGTTGGTGGACGMCGAGGCKGCCGATTTCGATCCSGACGAGTGGGTGCGAGACGGGGCGCTATACCGCTGCTGGCCGTAGACGCTGCCTCCGGGAGACGCCACCGGAGGCCGGGCAAAGGGCTGTCGCTGCGGATTGGAGAAAGCCGAGGAGTCGTCGTCCTCTTGTGGTTGCTGTAGCTGCTGCTGCTGCTGCTGTTGTTGTTGCTGCTGCTGCTGCTGCTGTTGGGGAAGGGGGGGTCGGTAGGCCTGGGAGGACTCCGAGGAGGCAGCTCCCGTTCCCCCCGTCTCTCGCTCCCCGGATCCCCCCGATCGAGACGTTGCGTCGAGGTCGATGCTCTCGTTCTCGAGGGCCTGCAGCTGCTTCTCCAGCTCCAGTCTGCGTCGTCTCAGGGCCTCCCGGTTCGCCTCGTACTGCTCGTTGCATTCCGGGCATGTGTCGAGCTGGTAGGTCTGTCCCGTCGACGGGTCCTTCTTCCGGAGTTCCACCCACGGGTGCTGGGCGCACTTTCCGTCCGGCGTCATGAGGGCCTTTGTCGCGATCGTGTCGACGTCGACGTCGACCCCGTTGCCCTCCTGGCTCAGCTCGTCGAATCCGCTCATGCCGTGTGTTTGTTGTTGGTCTGCTGTGCAATGTTTGTTGCAATGGGAATGCCTGTGAACAATGGAACTAGGAAAGGATTGCACMCGCCACCGTGGTGTTTTCAACGGGATTTGTGGTTCGGTTTTGGTTTTGGTTTTGGTTTCGATCTATCTTGCACTCGCTTTTTGCGGAAAGCTAGACCGTGAGCAGCAGGTCTCTTGGTTTGGCTTGGTTTCTAGCAGTATTAGGAGTGGTGTGGTAATCGTACAATGCTCTCAGAACACTGGGTAGAACGTCCTTACTGACAATTTCGTAGCTACGTACAGCAGTTAGTGACAGCTAAGTATTGTACCGTACGGTACGGTACCTCGTATCGTACAAAACTAAACTAGAAGTATTCCGTGACCGGGCGGGATTGGAAATTGCTTCGCTACTGTACTCCATCGTTGTAGGATAGGATGTACGATACTGCCAGTACCAGTGCGTTATGTGACATACGAAGACACGCATCTCTCAATCGTACCGTACGATGCGATCTACAGGTCTGTACCGTACGGTACTAACTCATACGTACGTACATGTTGCTCCTAGGAAATTGAGTTCACAGTACCGTACGTACGGTACCTGATGGAAGGGGTCTACTGCATATTATGAGCCCTACCTACGTACTCGTACGGCATTCCACTGAACTCAAGATTATTAGAAGTATTGCTATTACTTCATACAATACTATTCATACAATACTATT